AGGCCGATCCGGAGACCGAGATTACAGGACGACCCAGAAGAAGACGATCCGGAAAAGGCTGGCCATGAAAATGGACCGAGAGGTAGCCCTGGACTTATTACAGTGCTTTTTATAAAAGCGGGGAACTGAGCCTTGAACTTTTACAGTGCTTTTTATAAAAGCGGGGAACTGAGCCCTGAACTTTTTACAGTGCTTTTTATAAAAGCGGGGAATTGAGCCTGAGACTCTAAAGCAGCTAGCAGGTCTACTGCCTGTAAGGAAGGCTAAGAGATGTTTTTTGCAGATCCTAATACAATATTTGAGAAGAGTGAGTGGCAAAAGTTTGGTGATGAACTATTTGACTCAGTGCTTAATGATTATAAAAAGGCAAAGAAACTCGGTAAACCAAGGAGGGAAGTAATGAACTGTATAAAAAGATACAAGGCAGAAAAGAAAACTGCCGCGGTAGCAACGGAGAAACTAGGAACAGACGTCCCCGGTCGGTTGAAACCGGGGGAAGATTACAACTCCTTCCCCCCCCCCCCCCCCACTCGCGGGAGCACAGGGTTTCCCACCCCGCACACCCCCCCCACCCCGCACCCCCCTTCCTTTTCTCCCCCTCCATCAGAAGGTGCCGCGGAGGAGGTGTAACCCCCTGCTCCCCCACCACCCCAGTTCCGAAAGTAGGGACTTTGAAAAGGACAGAGAAAGTATATTAGAAGGTACAGGCATGATAAATGTCGAGAAATCCGAAAGAAAAAGGACGGTGCCTCGGCGCCGGATCGATTGCGGCGCCACTGTGAAGCACGCAGTAAAAAAAAAAAAAAAAAATAGGGATCATGCGCGAGCGGGAGATTTAAAGGAGCCGCGAGCCTCTCCAGCCCACTACGCCCTAGAGTGAAAAAAAACTTTTAACTCAGTCACGGAGGAGCCAGGTCTGCAGATGGCTACATACCGAAAGAGATACATCTGATAAGAAACACACAGCTGCGAGCAACGGAGACCCCGAGTTCGGCGCAGGATCAGCCCCCGAATCCGAGCCAGATTTATATCCTCTGCTTCCAGACCCTGACTCTTCGTCTCCCGGGTCGGTCTGCTCAGACTCACTGGCCCTGGAGACGCTCAGTTGTAACAATGGGTAACCAAAGATGTGATCATTACTGGGGAATTTCTGCAATGGGCATTCCTGCATATCCTGTGTTTACTACACAGCAGGGGGCTAAAGAGTGGGAAGCTCTTGATCTCAAAATAGTTAAGGAGGCCTGGCAAACAGTGACCACGTATGTGTTAAAATCCTCTTATACTCAAGCTGTATATGTTATGATTTTTTCTTGCAATTGACAGGGAGAGCCCATACAGTTTCTCTGTGATACTCATGTACTAGAAGTCGGTAAATATAAGTATGTCCAGGTTTATGTCAACCCTTGGAGACCTCTGTAGATACTGCTGGCCACTTCTTCCAGCACAGGCTGGCCACCTGTGTCGGAATGAGTGTGCATTTTGGTCAGTATAAAAGCCCAAGCCTCATACAATGTGGGGGAGGCAGAGCCTCTGCGGGGACGCCCGCTAAGGTTGAGCCTGCCACCTCGCACTGCAGTGATGCTTCCCGGAGCTGGTTTGCTGTTAGTCTCCACAGGGTCCTTGTGCCACGTTCTGTACGTGGGACTGTAGTGGGAGTAATGATGGCTTTTGCAGGGACTAAAAAAAAAAAAAAAAAAAAAAAAGGGGGGGAGAGAGAGAGTAATGATATTACATTTAACTTTAACCTGTCTAACCTGTCTATTTCTGAAGAACTGATAACCTGGGGGAGGGGGTATATTTGTGCCCTCCTGTCTACAGGTCCATGGCGACTGTGCAAAGTTTGTGAAGCCCTGCCATGAGCTGGACAGACAAATGGATAAACCTGATGCCTCAGCTACAGGAGCTGACTGTGATTACCCCAAGCAGAATGAGATAGAGGAAGAGAAAGAACAAATAACTGCAAAACATCACTTGGGGGCAACTGAAAAGTAACATCCTGAATATGTGTGCTTGTAAAGTAGCTATATTAGAGGTTGTGATTTTGTGTATAAAACCACCTGTATTTACTAGCTAGTTGCTAATAAGAAACTGCACCTTGTATTGTATAGATTTGTCACTTGTAATAGAGATGTTAAGAGTATGGAAATTTGCAGTAGCTGCTAGAAAATGCTAAGGCAAAAGCTAGAAAAATTTTAATACAATGGTAGTGTTATAAAGCAGGTGATGGAACAAATTAAGAGGGGGGGAGAATTCCACTGGTAAGAAATTTCTTTGGCTAGTCCTTCACTGCCGTCAGCATCTTAACATGCTGCTGCGCCCTGTAATAGTTACTCTGCTAATGTAAATGTGTGCCTTGCTGTAGTAGCAACTTGTTACTGGATAAAACAAAAGGGGGAAGATGTGGAGACAGTGTTCTCACAGGAGAATGCATAATTGGTACATAAACTTTGAACAGTCCTGAAAGATACAGCAAGGCCATGAGAGGCCCGAAGAAGCATAAGCAAGCAAGATAAGAGGCTGGAATTCACCAAGTTAATAAGAACTGTGGACTGTTGGCAAGCTTTCAAGGTTGAGTTCTCACACCTGTGTTTAACCAATTATGTTAGTCACTAAGGGTCTTCAAAACATGTATCCAATCATAATATGCCAAATCACTGTAAGTGCTTCAGCTGGGGCCTTGGCTCAACTAAGCAGACTGGGTTGCTGAGTTGTTAAGCAGACAATTTTACATCGAAGGCAATTTCTGATTTGTTTTAATGTTGACTCTGTGAGACATGCAACACTGCAGAACCTTTTGTTGTTGGAACAGGGACATGGATGTGAAGAGTTTGATGGAATGTGTTGTATGAGTCTCTCTGATTATGCTAATTCAATGCACGCACAGCTGAGAACCCTGGCTCAGCTTGCCCAGCAATAGTAAATGAGCAATATCCTAAGAATAACTAGATGGTTGTCACCGGGCATTACAGGTTGAGTCAAACACTGTTGTTTGAAGCATTGCACTTATGTATCATTGTTAGGTTAATCATCGTAGCTATTAAGACTTGTTTATAGTTGTGTGATAAAACAGGTGAACAGAATAACCCATAATGCCTTGCTTGCACAAAGAAAAAGGGGGGAATTGTTGCAGAATGACTTTAAGAGCAGAACCATAGAGTTCTGGAGGACTGTGCAAGCAAGGCAGGGGGTGGCCCTCACAGGTGGACAGAGACCGGACCTGGGAGGAGAATGTGGAGGAAGCTGTGGGGGCTAACCAATACTGTTATGCCACGAAGGAGTGGCTGAATACCACTCCTATATATGTGTGAACTGCGTCACAAATAAACCAGAAGTTGCTTATCACCCATATTGGGTTGGCCTGTCTGCTTCTCCTCGCCGCTTACAGCCGCATGCCCAAATACCACTGCCTCATTCATAAACATTTCATGCTGTGAAAGTTAATACTCCATCCAGAAGGACCACAGGCTGGATCATACCAGCAGCCAGCTTCCCAGACAGCACACAGTCCTACCAAGACAACAAAGCCTGCTCCCCCTTGGCTCTCTGAGCCAGTGTTGATGGCCTTTACCATCACATCTCCCCTGCAAGCAACCCCTTGCTCAAAGCCCAGCCTCGGTCACTAGGGATACATGAGGCGTCCCCTAGTGCCATATGCCCTAGAGCAGAACCAGGACCACTCCATCCCATCACTGCTGTCCTGCAGAAACAGCTGGGGAACTTCCCCCTGGTAGGCTCAGAGCAGCAGGACCTGACATGGTGAGCACCAAAGGACAGCCGGGATACCCTGTCCTGCACCCGGAGGACACTGCTGACCTGTGTGCTGGGCCATCTGCCCAACCACATGGGCTGCGAAGGGCTATGAATCTCTTTTACAGAGGGATGAACCAGCAGAGCCAGAACCAGACAGGGTTTTGCACCCAAATCCCCATTAAAACAAGATGCATTTTTCCAAGGTCAGTGTCCTAGAAAATTCCCCTTTTAAGGTGACTTCTCAAGCTGTTGAAATCCAACATCTGTAGGATTTTCGCTTGTAATAATCCTACTGAGATTTACCTAATCTCCAAGTGACTCATTTGCCTCCCTGTATCCCCTCCTAATCACCACAGCACTCCTCAGCCTCTTGCTCTTAGTATCTCCCTCCACATCCACATTTGGACCATTCCAGATCATTTTGCTGCTTCCCCTAGCAGCACTTCCCCAGGAAACACTCTCTTCCTCCCATTAATACCTCCCAAATACCTGGCTGGTACACAGCACCCTTGTTAAACACAGGGACATCCATCCCCTTGTTGGGCTAGTTCCAGCAGAGCTGGGATTTCCCTGGAAGCTGTGCCATGGTGGTGTGGGGAGCAGCTGATATAGGGCATTGCCCTGTGTAGGATCAAGACCATAGAATGACAGAATGGTTTGGGCTGGAAGGGACCTTAAAGCTCATCCAGTTCCAACCCCCTGTCACAAGTAGAGACACCTTCCACCAGAGCAGCTTGCTCCAAGCCCCAACCTGGCCTTGATGGCCACCTTCCATCTCATGCAGGAGCTAGCAGCTGGAAACCTGATCGACATAGGACCTAGGGCAGATTTGCATGAACTACCATGAGGCAAAGGGCTCATTTATCCACGCTTTGAATCCTTTCTCCATTCTTCCATATTCCCCACTGGGAACTGACAGCCACATCTTCCACTGTAGATCACCAGCAAATCCCTCCCAGGGTAATGCATCCAGTACCTCCCAGCCCTGCAGCTCAAGTGACTTCTGAGTTCTCCTGCTCAGGGCAACCCGCTCTGCCCCAGGCACCTTCTGCTACAGCAGAAGTTGCCAGTGATGAAGCTGTGATGAAGGCAGGAGATGAATGTAAGCAAGGACCAGGCTTCAACCCACAACTCCCCCACAGCCAACCCCTCACAAAGTAATAGGCACTAACGACACTTGTTCACTCGACACGAACCAGACACAGCCAACTCCCAGAAGAAGCTGCGGAAGCCAAGAAATTAGCAGCAACCAAGCAGAAGCATATGTTTATGTGCATAACAGTGAATCATCTTCAAATAGTTAACTGCACATGGGAAAACAAAGGGAAAAACACACTCATCCTTCCTGCTTTGGACAAATATTGGGGATCAGGCAGAAACATGAACAGTGGGGTCTATCTCATGGAGCATCACTTCTGCAGTGACAATCAGAGACCATCTACATGATGGACAAACTCCTCCCATAGTACCACATGCACTTTTAACACCACGGGTTAAGAATCAAGCACCACAAGGATCTACATTTTCCACCATCACCTCCCCACCACATCTTCCTCCTGGAGCATGGGAAGAGGCAGGTCTCACGCCCTCTCAGGCCAGGGCTGGCTCAAATGAACTCTTGTTTATGTAAGGCACTGCCAGGCAGCCTCTTCCCTGTGTCCTCACTTCAACGGTGCCTTTCCAGCCTCATTCTTTCACTGGCAAAACCAGGTCACCATCTGCTCTCCCTCCTGACTCTGGCGCCTGCTTCTGCAAGAGATAAAAGAGCGACTCTGCAAAGAGCTTTCCCTATGGCAGGCTGGGGAGTTCAGAGATTCAGTCTCCAAACCAGATGACCAACAAGGACACCAGGCACAGGGATGATGCCTGTCACAGGGAAGCCCACAGGCTATGAAATAATGACCAGGAACGTCTGCCACATTCATCAACATGCCCCCAGGAGACAGGAGATCTATGATTCCCGCCTGGAAGGAATTCAGCCTGCTCCACTTCCAGCTTTTATTTTCCATCCTAAAGTCCACAGTGACCTGCTCCTGGCGTACGGACACAAAGCACTCATGCAGGCAGGTGACAGGCACAGACAAGGCCCCCAGCCCCAACAGGCTCTGTGATCACCAGCCTCTGAAGGAGAAACCAGGAGGTTTTAACATGCAGCAAGGTTAAAAAACCTAGGGCCAGAGAAAAGCTGCCTTCCCTCTCTAGAGCCTCAAGGGCCTCACTCAATCCTGCCGCTCTCCCTGCTACACCCTGGGAAGCGTGGGCAGCTCCAGGCTGGCACCTTTCCACCTCCTGTTGCTTCCCTGACAGCCCTTCCCTGGGAAGAAAGCTGCTCCTAAACCCTTTCCTTGCCTCACAAGGCAAGCCTGTCTCTCACCCAGTGCCTATTTCATTGTGTCAGGATCCCCAGCAATGATATGTTGGGGTCTCAGTCACAGGAGGGAGTTGAATCTGCATCCCAGACAAGTGCCTGATGCTCTTGGCTACCTGGAATCAGACAACTGCTCTTGCTCATGAAGATAAGACCTCAAAGTGCTGGGTTTGACCTCAAAGCACCACTGCCTGCGAAAAACACCAAACAAGAAAAGCCAAAGGTCAGCAATGCACATGGGTTGCACAATGTGTGACTGACGAACCAAAGGACCCTCTTCCTCCCTGGACAAAAGGGAACAGAGATCACAACCTCGAGGGTCTGCTCGCAGGTGTCTCATCCCCTGCTCAGCCCTGCAGGGTCCTTCAGGTGTATCCCATGGAAGACAGCAGCCCATGAACCTGCTGACAGGCAGTGGAGCTTTACGAGGCACAACGCTCTCTCCCTCTTCCCTTTAGGACAGCACACAGACAGTGACAGCCTCCACGATGGAAAGAGCTGCTCCACCCAGTGCTGCAAACCCAGCGCCTCGAGCCTCAGCCAATGCTCCCCAGATCAACACCGCGTCCCCGGGCCAACCTGAACCTCTGCCGCCAGGAGCCAGCCGGGGCAGGAGCCCATGAATGCACCACGGTAAAGCCATTTGCTGCTGTCCGCCCCGGAGGCAGGAGCCCGCCCTCCTCTCGGCGCCACTCTCCTCCATCCCAGTGTGTCACGCCGGTTGCCATGGCGATGGACCGCTTGGAGGAAGGTTCATTATCAGTTACTCTATTGAATAAAACCTGGGATGAAATTTTGTTTTCTCCCCGCTAATGCAAAATGCCACGGATCTGTTTCCTGACCCTGTGGTATTTATAGACTATCCAGGCCAACTTTCCCCAGCCGAGGGGATCTGATGTACACCCAACCCCCTGTCTGAATCCCCATTAACAACTTGCCCAAGCCCTGGGTAAAGCACAGAGCAGCATCCTGAACAGAGCTTGTCTGGACACTTCCAGAAGGCTCAAGAAACATGCAAACTGTTTTTAATTCCATAGCAATCAGCTCTCTCCTTTCCTACAGACAAGGGGTCCCCAAGATGAATCCCGTGGGGTGCAGAGCATGTTGGGCTGAGCTCTTCCACGTGCTCCACAACAGTACTGCAGAGCTACAAGACATCCAGTACCGCATGAATTAGGCCCTCAGGCTGAGTACCAGAAATGCAGAGCAGCAGGTTTATGAGTCAGTCCCAGGAATGTGAGAAAAGTGGGGAGGAAACAGCTAAACAAATTGCAGATTTCTTTCTTTTCAAGCTCTCTGTGTGGCAGTGCCAGGGACCCTTCCCACGCAGGCCAGTTCCCCTCCCCTTCCCCTTGCATCAGAAGCTCTGAAAAACATGGTCCCATCACGCTCTCCGGCTGCTGCACTCGTCAGCGTGTCCTCCAAAGCACAAGGATGTGACTTGAGAAACACTCCAGTGTTTTTAACAGGTTTTTTAAAGTCAGTTGGGAAGTGGGAACAGGGAAAGAAGAGAGCTGCAGCACCGGGCAGCGACACCGGCCAGTTGGGCTCCTCTCTCCCGGGACAGGAGATTCCCAGAAACAGGTTAGCCCGAACATCCCATTTCACTGCAGCTCAGCGAGCCCTGCCTTGGCCATGAGCCCTGCCTAGAAACACAAGGAGAGCGTCATAAAATCCTCAGGTTTCATCCCTGCGGTGCTTCGCAAAGCATTCCACTAGAGCACACCGGAGCAGCCTGGCCTGCCTCAGATGGGGCTTAGGAAACACAGCCCACATGTTGTGACGGGTGGTGCACGTGCTAGGGACGGAGGGGGCTTGCAGCCTGGCCATGACAATGCCAGGGCCACCACTGGCACAGCACACACGAGCCTTCCCCTTTGCCAGCAGTGAGGGGATGGGAAGCAGAGCAGGGGAGCAGCACCTTGTTGAGCCACAGCACATCACACCCTCCCTATCCCTGCCCTGGGAGCCCAGGCACGTTTGGCTCCATCTGGCATGGAGCAGGAGAACCGCTCCACTAGGACACAGCGAAACATCACTCCTGATCCCCTTCCACCCCCTGGGATGACTCAGTCCCTGTCTCTCCCAGCGCCGTAACGATAAATCCCAGGGTACTGCACCACAGGAAATCTGCTCTTCACTCCTTGGCAAGGCAAAGGCAGGTGCTCTACCAGATGGCTGAACTTTAAGGATGTATCCAGCATCAAAACCAAAGGCGTCTGAGCCCACAAGCCTCTCAAAGTGATATACACCATTCTGGACCATAACCAAGAAAGGAAGTTATTCATGGAACTTGCTGTTTTTCAGCCAGGAACCCGCCCATGCTAGGCTTTGCCACCCCTACATCCACCTCACTCTTAGTTAGCAAAGACATTCCACTAAGGGATGCAGCAGACCTCAAGGGTCCGGACCGTCATGCTCAGCCATGTGACAAATACATCCTGTCTCCCTCTGGGATTGTGTTCAGATTGTGCGAGGCAGACAGCAGATGGGGAAGTCAGGGAACCGGGAACAGCAGCTCCAGTGCTGGTAATCACAAAATATAGCTGTGGAATTCAGACAGGCTGAGATGGCACCGGTGTACAGGGGATGGACTGTATTTCTAATTACACTTTAAGGGCAACAGAGACAGCCAAGCTGAAGCACCTTTTGATCTTCCACGTGGCTCCCATGGCTCCTAAGGGGAGGTTTACAAAGCTGGAGGTGTGGAGAAGTCACCACCCTGGAGTCATGAGGAAACAGCCTCTGAAACCCCTCCTCTAACAGCAATGACATCTGGCTCTGGGGCCACCCCGGGATGATCTCACCAATACAGGAATGAGCTGATGCCATTTGAAGAGGCAAATCCTGCACTTTGCAGGCTTCTGACAGAGCAACTGAGGGTCCCACTGCCTCAGCTGATAGGAATTACTCTCACTCCCAGATGAGATTCCCAAAGAGCCCTGCCATGCATAGCCTGGCACTGGCAGAGCATCTCACCCCAGCCCACAACCAGGACCCCACAAGCAACAGGGCCACGGCCTTGGTCCATCATTGTGAACAACAGGATGAGGAGATGCCCAGCTGCGCAGCCCCAGTGCTGCAGAGCAAGGAGCCAGAGCTCCTCATGAGAGTAACTGATGTGGATCTCCAGGGCTGCTCATACTTGAGATTATAGTGCAGATTTAGAAGGTCACTGTCCTCAGCATCACTGTCTGCCCTTGAAACTTCCCTGTCAAGGGAACAAAGATCATCTCCTTCCTGCATTCTGCCAAGGAATCTATCTAAAATCCCTTCTTTCTCTCACACCAAAAGCAAAACGTGCATTAAATCAACACCCCTGGTGTTTTATGACCCTTTTCTCACTAGAGCTGGAGACATTCCCCCAGCCTTCAGCTCCCAGCGCTGTTCTCATCTGTCTTCTGCCTCAGCTACACAGCAAATGTGAGGGAGACTCGATCTTAGAATCAGGTTTTGTGAAGCACAGAGATCTGACGTAACAATGGAAACGTGGGGGCGGGACAGGACTGGGAAAGCAGTGCTGCAGAGCCCCACAGAGACATGTGGCCCTGTCAGTCTCCAGCTGGGAAATCACTTTCTGAGGCTGGAAATATTTCTTGCACTTCTCATGGGAGGTCCTGGGAAGGAACAGATTTAATGCTGCTCCATTTCTACCCCATATTGATCACATACTGGTGTTCTGGAGCAACACAGAGCTCTCATCAATTATGACAATGCTCCCTGCTGCATTAAGCCCAGCAGACATAAGTCAGAAGCCGTCAAGGGCTGACTCAAAGAGGAATTGCTTTCTATATTATTGCATTTTCAATATAAGACTGATCTCTAAGAGGTTACATCTATTCCCACCAAAAATGGCTCACTGGACGAATGACAGCCCCAGCAGTCAGACAGGAAGAGCACCACAGGGATATCTGCAAGTAATCCCAGGAAAACGGGGCAGGGCAGCAGGGAGACATTGGCTTGCTGTAAGGAGGGAAGGGAGAGAAGAGGCCCCTCTCCAGGGAGCCGCCAGATGCCAAGTTACAAAGCACAGGATAAAACCAGCCAGATAATTCCTGAAGAGGTGTCAAGAGAAGATGATGGACCGAAGGAAGCTCTTGCATCCTGTGCGGCACGACTGGCTCCCATCAAAGAGCATCTCCCAAAGAACCCAATCCCATCTCATGCCAAAATTCAGACTGGGGGAAGCTGGTTCACATGGTACTCAGGAGGCCTCCGTCTGCCTGGACCGAGCATTTCCCATTGCTGGGATCTTGCAGGCTTATTGCAAGGAGTAAAAGGCCCAGGAAAGGGAAGGATGTAACTTGTGTAAGCAGAGACGGTGCTTTTGCAGGAAAGGGTGCAGACAGCCAGAGCCCCTGAGGAAAGGCTGTGACATTCTCGCCTTGTCTCACAGCTCGCTGTTACCAGCACAGACCACAGCTCTGCTGAGAGCAACGATCCCCCAGCACCAAGCTAGGGGCTCTCACACCTCCTCCCCGCTCCTCCTGTGGAGCAGGGGTGCACACAGGGCTCAGAGCTGCTGGAAAAGATGGGCAGCCATCCCCTCCATCTGTCAGGGACATCATAATCCCCTGTGGAACTGCACCATAACTGAATCATTCCCATTTGGCTTCAGTTTGGAAGCAGGACCCAAGCTGAGGCCATTAAGGAGATCAAGGCAAGAGCTGCAAAGGGCAGCAGAGCTCACCAGCCCGCAGCAGCATCCAGCCAGGATTTTGTGCCTGGCACCCAAATGCTGGTGCTTCAAGAGGAAAGGAAAAAGCTCCCTGCTCATGTGGGCTGTTCCACACGCTGCTTCCAAACAAACACATTTCCAGAGCTCCAAGAGCCGAGCTGGAAGAGGCAGGAGGCGGCAGAGTTGAAATCTTCTGGGGTGCTTGCTGACACCTTCATCTATCGAGGCAAGCACACAGATCGCAGGCACAAACTAACCTGCTCCTTGCTGCCTAGCTGAGTGGCGTTTCTTTCATGCTACAGCAACCGCTTCCTGTAATCAATTCACTGCTGAGGCCATGAGACAACAGATCATGTATTTTCCCCCAAACAAGGTGCTGATTTCAATTGATCTGAAGGTGGAAACAGCCTCCCATTATCCCAGAGAGGCCAGGAGCCTGGGAATTGCCAGGGACACCTTGGAGCCTCTCCTGCCCAGGGCCAGTTTTCTCTAGCCTGCATGTTTCTCAACCAAGAAGGAGCTGGCAGCAAGCACTGCTGCCTGAGGGAAAGCTGGCCCAGGAACCTGCTGAGTGAGCAGAGCCCTGGCTGGGTGTGAAGGAAAGCATAAGCGTGCTGCAGGATGCCCGTGCCGAAGCCCAGATCCATTTGTATTCCACAGGATCCTCTCCTCTGCCTGTTCGTACAACAGCCAACGGGGTCCCCCTGCAGAAGCTGAGACTGTGATGAATGCTCAGAGCTTGCTCTGCTCTGCTCCTGTTCGAGCTCCTGCTGAGGACGGGTTTGCCCCAGAGCTGGTTTGTTAGGCTGTGGTGAGCAGTCTTCCCGAGGCTCATCACAAGGCAGGGGCTTCATGAGCATCCCT